GGTGCTTCTACTAAATACTGAGCAAAGGGTCTGAATACTTATGACCATGTGATATTTCAGTTTTTCTTTTTTAATAAATCTGCAAAAATGTCAAATTCTGTGTTTTTCTGTCAATATGGGGTGCTGTGTGTACATTAATGAGGAAAAAAATGAACTTAAATGATTTTAGCATATGGCTGCAATATAACAAAGAGTGAAAAATTTAAGGGGGTCTGAATACTTTCCGTACCCACTGTATATTCTGATAAAAGAGAAATATACATCATTGCTAAAACAACAAACCTAGTTGACTGATACTTTTGCACAGTACTGTAGATGCTACCAACATGTTCCTGGCTTGCTAACATTTTCCTCTTACATTGCCAGGAGTTCACCAACTATGAACAGTAACTACATCACCAGCAGCATTTATTTTACACAGATGTGTGGATGAATTTTGCTGTGTCCCCCAGGACACTAGTGTGCCTCACTGATGTGTTTTTGGACAACAGATCACTATGGCACAAAGGAATAAGATGTATCAGGCTTTTGAAACACATAATATTTGCTACCTGTTGGTTTTGGTTGTTTCATGAAATTGTTGACAGTAAGAAAAATATACAATATCACCAATACCCTTTAAATTACATTATGTGGCCTTCAAGTGGCCCCAGAGCTATAAATTCTGGATTGGAGATTGTAAATATGACAAAAGCTTTTATATACACTTCTGGCTTGGAAAAAAAAAAAAAAAAGTACTGAAACAAACAGTTAAATGTAGAAGTGCCACGGAGCCAGTTTGTGCTGCAGCTGCTAAGTGAACAGAAGCAAGGAAGCACATGATGTTTCAGTTAACTTATTTGCCTAAAATTGCTGAATATGTCAAGGTTTTTCTCCCATTGTCTTTTATAAACCGTTGCTTCTTCACATGCACAAAAATTTCATGTCTGTGCAAAACTCTGGAACAAGTCAAAGAGCAAAAACAAACATGTCTTCTTACTTATTCCCACCAAATGCTTTCTACACTGTCTGAAGCGTATTATGAAGGCAGTATATGTCATGAATGGGCTGATAAAAACACAGACAAAGGCTTACAGTGTCATCAAATCAAAATGCCTGGATACAAACAGAAGCACTGCAGGTTGCATCTTTCCTTAAGACCCGGTTCACACAGATACATGAGTTTTCTGTTGACTGACCTCCCTCAGTGGTGAGGGGGAACAAGTCCTAGTTACCACGCAGAACTCTCTACTGACTACTTTGTGCTGAAGTGATGATGATGTCACCCTTCCAAAGCGCACAGACTCCACACACTTCACTGCCCGACATACAGAGTGTCAACTAACAATGCCCAGAGAAAACACAAGAGGATTGGCACATTTCCAGACTGTCGCTCCTGGAAGACACAGAATTGCACTTGGTTTCAATTGAAAAGTGACAAATTAGTTTTGCCAAGAATGTAATAAGACAGAGAGAAGTTCAGCCCTTATCTGCTTTCTAGCCTCCACAGTGAGCCATCAAGATTGGACCGGTAGTTTCTAAAAGTTTGAGAACACTCAGAAACAAAACCCCTAACCTGATGTCAAAAGAAGGTGTGAAGAGGAGGGCGTAAGCTCTTTGACCTTCCAACAAGCAGTGATCGAGTATACTGGTGTCTTAAGTATAAATGGAGGTGCCATAAACTACATGGATTTGATCTGGAGCTGAGCACAAATGGAAGCCAAGCATTGCACTTATTATTCCAAAGCTCAGATTTAATTACAACAAGCAAAAGGAAGCTTGAGGCAGGACTGTAGTCTAGTCTGAGAAGTTTTGAGTTCCTCATTCTGTTATCTGACTGTTCTCACTGAGCTCTAAAAGGGTATTAACTAAGCTTTTCTTCACCGTCTGAAGGAAGGAGTTAAATGGGGTGTGGGGACTTATACCACATCCCTCTACAACAGCCCACTCTCCTGTTATTCTTATCTCCTCTGCCCTGTTGTCAAAGATGCAGCAGTGAGCTAGTACATGCTCAATGACTGAAGTAGCTCCAGTAAATGGAATTCAGCAATCATTGATTTTATTATTTGCACCTGTGTTTTCGGCTGTAAAAAAGGCTATTTAATATACTTTTATTTACAATGAGCCCCATTTAAGAGAGATCACAGTCCGGCTCCAGTTTGCCAGGTGGTAAATCATAGCTACTTCAGTCTAGAGGGTGATGCATGTGAAGCTGCTTGGTGACAGCCAAGACATCACAAGAACAACTAACTTTCAATTAATTTACACAGATTAGTTTATGTTGCCAAAATCTAAATTTTAAAGAGTGCACTTGTCCTTCTTGGTGGCAAACATTGACAGCAACAGTGACACTAGAAGGACTGCAATAGAGACTCACAAACCAAAGCTTCATGTGACACTACAGCATACTAAAGTGTTGTTATACCTTTTTATCTCTCGAGTTTTATTCTGTTGTAAAAAATAAACCCTTCCACTCCTTTAATTTAATCTCTCCACCTCCTCCATAACCCGTCATTGTACCACCCACAGCTTCAACTGCCATAAATGACAACACAAAATGAAAAACTCAGGAACCAGTTTCTCTGAGCACAAGGATCTGCATGCAGCTTTGTATTTAAGAGTGAAAGAATAACGGTTATTCAGCTAGTTAGCTGTTGCTGAGGCCGTAGTTAAAGGTGGTGTGGTGGACTGCACTGAGAGGGTCCCTATCTACATATGTGATGGGGCAGAATATTAGAAACACTGCTAAATATAATGTAGTCCAGTACAACTTATGTGATTAATGAACTAATCAGTTCAGGTTTAAGCTGGATTTAATAAAGAACTAGATTTGGATGACAACTAACGACAATGTCAGAACTGACAATGAATGAATTTTTAAACGTTTTTCATTTAATAATTTCAAACAAAAATACCAACATTTGCTGGATGTAAATACTTTATATTCAAAACATGCTCAAATATGAAGATTTGATTCTTTGCAACATATTTTTGACTGTTATTCAACCAAAACAGGCAATTTCTGGAAAATTGTGATGAACGTTTTTCACCAGTTTTAAAGCAGAGAGGTCCTGAGCCCATCCTACCATTTCTGTAATACATTTTTTCCCTCTAGCAAGTTCCCTCATGTCAATTGCAGTCGTATTAACAGTCAAAATGAACAACTAATGCCAGGTCTCCTTCCTTTCATATGAATATTTTATAGTTTTAAAACCAGGACTTTCTGTATATGGATCAAGAAACTAAGCTGAGCCAAATTTAGGGGGCTACAGCTGGTTTTCAATATGTCAGTTATATTCAGTACATTTAGGCTAGATCAGTCAAGAAAACAAATGTGCCAAAGAATGGGGAAACATACATGTGCACCAAGGACCTATATTAATTCTTCTCAGACTCTGTAGATATTAAAGAATAATCATTAGCTGCAGCCCCGCTGAAAACTGAGGGGGCAGATGTTTTCTGAGTTTAACTTTTACATTTTGACGTTTTTGTATGAAAATTTTCATCTAATATTCCTGATGTTCACTTGAGAGTCTGGATTTGCAAATCTGAGTAAAACGTTAGTGTGATTAAAGTGAGAACGAGGCCGTTACTCCTCACTCCCACCACACCGCTGAGCTGAAGGGAAAGCACCCGCCATTCAGTGTTTGTGAGCACTGTCAGTAGTGCATCAGGTCTACGTCAC